CTCTAACAAGGACATTGGCAAAGGATGATTGTCCTCGGAAACTACTTACAAGACGATAAATGTCTTCGCCCTTTTCCTAAATGATCGTTATTTCATTGACGTTAAGATGCTTTGAGATGAAGGAAGTTCACCCCTTGGGGCAACGATCTCCACAGCATTGACAACTCGTTGACCGCATTATTCAACTTCTCCTTTTCAACCTGCGGGCTTCCTCTGGCGGTAACGTCCTCAAAGCATGTGCATAACAAATTGACCTTCTAAAATAGGGTAGCATGTAAGCAAGAAAATAAATAAAAATATTAAACAGTGAATATTTTAGTAAATAATTCCTTACACAAGACCAATGTTGTCAGATCTCCTAAAGCTATTTTAAAACACTTTTTCATGCGTACTGTGTAAAAATTAGGATTAGAATGACGTCATCTGCTTAGGAATTATTAAGCAAAAGCTACGCTGATCTAAACATCACACAAGTAAATCAGATCATACGTGATCCAAGCAAGCAGCATACACAGACTATGTTGTAGATAAAGAACCGCTGGCCAGGTTAAACATCATAAGACTTTTAAAACTTACCCTACATCGCGGATACATAAATAGTACGAGACATGCAGAGAAGAAACAGCCCATTAAACTAGCATCAAATGGACTTCTCGAGCGACAGCCGATTATTAAGAGTACCGATTTGTTATGATAACATGTGAAAGAGAGAAGGTAAACGAAACCCAGAATGAAAGAATTAGTAGAAATCTTGCAGAAGATAATATGAAAACCCTAATTTGCATTGTGTGTCATCAGGTAAAATCTGAGAAATCTGAATCGACTATCAAAAAAGAAATTCCATTCCATCCTTTTTTTTGCTTTATCCTTTTATGCATCCATCCTTTTATTCGCTCACTTCTGTCTTTGACCTTTTCTATCGTTTCGCCCATCGTCAACCCATCTCTTCCTGCTCTAATTTCACTCATTTTTTTACTTTTTATTCATCTCTTCCACTAATTCACAATTCTGATGCATAAATACCCCTTCCACTCCACTCCTATATACAATTCTCTTTTCTACAATTTTCCATTCCTTTCTTATTAGTTTTTTTCGTCGCTCATTTGCTTCCCTTCTCAACTCATTACTAACTACTACTACCAATGTCCCTCTCATACTTATTCAATTCATCAGTCTCTTGCATTCCCTTCAAATCTTTCCTTTCCTTCTTCGTTAATCTTTTTCTTGTACAATTCATTTTACAATCCTTACTCCCTACCTTATGTTTTTCTACAGTCTTCAACTATTTCAATCATTCATTTCTTTCTCTCGGAATAAGATTTTTAGTTTTTCTCATCATAAATTCCTCCATTCCATTTCATAAACTTATCAAGCTTTTTTTTTATCCGTTCCTCTGTTGCATCAATTCTTGAATTCTTCATTTGCTTCTTTTCTTCTCTCATTTCTTTCCTTTACTTTTCTGTTAAATCCCTTGTTATCTTCGCATTACTATCAGTTCCTGCCTTATTTCTGTAATCAGTTCCTTTTCTCAACCCTCAACATCCAGTCCATTATTCTCATTTCCATCCTTCCTTTCTCAGATCTCTCCTTCCTTCCTTTTAGTTCTTTTTCTAAATCCATAGCTGCTCAAACCTTTCGTTCATTAGTTCATCAACTATTTCTGTTGCACTGCGGCATGGTGGCAACGAAGTCGCCATTTAAATCCAACTGCTTGGTTTCAATCCTCTGAAGGGACAACCTTGCTTAACAGCGAATTCCCTTTAGCGGGGAATTAATCCCACGTTGCCTTGGCTCAACTACTTGAGAATCGGGTAGTAGGACAGTGACCTTCGAAAAATAGGAACACATTGGTAGTCTGGTTTGGTCATGTCAGAATGGACGAGGTGTAAGATAATGCCGTCCAACGCGAGCAACTCCGTCTTGACCCACCTGATGGCTGACCATCCATCATAATAACTCGCTGTCTGTAATAATGTTTAACCCCGATGTTGATTTCCTCGCCCTCAAAGTCGCTCTTTTCTTCTATGTTTAATTTCATAATCCCGTCCAAAGCTATTTTTCTCCCTTGTCAGTTTATTTCTTCTTTTCTTTCTCGCCTGTCCTTCCTTCACCATCTTTCCTTTTACTTCCTTTTCTACATTCTTTCGTCGATTCCTTGTTTTTACATGGACGTTTTCCAATTTTCCTTTTCTTCATTGGCTCTTGCTTTGTACATTGCTTGCTTTACTCCTGACTTTCTTCTTCAGCTGTTTCTTATCCCTCTTACTTAATCGATTCCATCAATTCTATTTTCATGATACGCACTACACAGTGAAACGTTGTTTTCGACAAGCTAAGCGTCTGGTTACAATCATAATCTTTGACAGCGCTGGTTTCTGTACTCACCGTAAGTTCGGCGAAAATGCAACGAATTCTGTTTTCGATTTCCGCTCTTGTGGAATCCATAGTCAAAACTTCATGGCAACGTTAAGTTGAAACCTAAAGAAGTTACGCGTCAGAAAATTGTGCGAGTTCGAAACTACTTGAAATCAAAAGGATAAAAATCGCAAATCCACAAGAAAATGACTATGTCTAGCTGGATGGGTAAACCCATTTACCGTAAATACAAATAAAGAACGTGGAAATGTGGGAAAAATTATTAATAATTTATGCAAGATTCACATTATTCTCATTTACTTCAAAAAAAACTGCATTAAATCTCATGAGTCGCATTCAACTCGATAGAACGTAATCT